AACATTTTTTATAGATATGTATAATTATGGTATCAGATAGATAAGTTCAAGTTTAATCATGACTTAATTTATACGAATGATCTAAATGCATAGTTCATAATATACCCTGAATAACAAATTTTTAGTAAAAAATCGGTCACTTTCAGTTAACGAAATACATACATTAATATTATTTTTTTAAAGGCCCATTATGGATCAGAAATGCTACCATTCTTATTTTTCAAAAAACGTTCTATTTTTTGGTATCTTGCTACAGTTTCAAAAAATAATACTCATTTGCTATATAGATGAACTATCTTGCTTCATTTGCTCTGTTGACAATTGATATAATTTTAGTAAATAAGTGTTTTGTATGGGAGTCAAATTACTACTTTGTTTACATTTGGCTACCTTGACGACACATTATTACTGCACATTTAGTTGTTAAACATCTTACATGATCTAAATCAACAATTGAGCCGCGTCATGACAAAAACCAACATAGTGCGTTTGCGACCAGCATGGATCCAGACCAGCCTGCGCCTCCTCGCTGTCTGATCAGAATCCATGCTGTTCGCTTACCAACTCTATTACAAGTAGAGAAACTGATAGCGAACAACATGGATCCTGATCAGACTGCGCGGATGCGCAAGCTGGTCTGGATCCATGCTGGTCGCAAACCCATTATGTTGCTTTTGTCGTGACGCGGCTCAAATATATATTTCTGAGACGTAATGTGCCTTAAATTTCTGAACTTATGGAGTTCGTAGTTATTTCTTAAATGTTATCTTTTTATTTCAAAACTGCATAAGGAACAATTACAACTTTTAATGTTATTATAATTATATATACATCTAACTTATTATCAACTTTATTTAATAAAAATATTATTTCGATCGTTTGATGGCAAAACAGGCATTCGCGGAATTTCCTAAAGGTGAATAGTCTCTTAATTGCAGATATCAAACAATAGCAATTACAACAACGAACAAAAAGAGAGAGAAAAAAAAAAACAATCAGTTTTCCTAAAACATAAGATTACCTATAAAAATTAAAAGGGCATCTATCAAAATATAAAGGGTTTTTATTCATTAAGGTGTTTAAAATCAACGCTGCATTTGTGAGGTTTCAACATTGAACCGGAAGTTGGTAAGCGTCATTTAATACAGAGCGCGTGCATCAGACGACATAAAGAATAGTTTTTACTGCCCATAAAGCATGCATTTTTGCACTGAATTCACAACGCCACAACAAAGTTGAATACTAAACAAGCAGTGAACAATTCATGAATTGTAATATAAAGTTGATAATAAAATATTTTCAAGAAAGAAAAAAGTCTTGACAGAAAATTACCACATGAAGTTAATGAGCAAACAAGAGTTGATATTAGGAAAGTATTCCCATGACTTTAGCAAAATTTTAAGAAATTATTTACAATTAATTATATTTCTGTCCGCCTTTTGTCACTGTTTGTTTGACTGTAACTTATTAATTAATTATTAATTTCACGAAAACGGCATTAAATTGGTTATACATTTATGAGAAATCTTGGCTTTTACGATGACTTGTGTCCCAGTCTTTGATAAGCAATTTCCGCCTGAATGTCATAGTTAACAGTCGTCTGCGAGACGGCGTCTCATAGAAATATATATGAGCCGCGTCATGACAAAACCAACATAATGCGTTTGCGACCAGCATGGATCCAGACCAGCCTGCGCATCCGCGCAGTCTGGTCAGGATCCATGCTGTTCGCTAACCAACTCTATTACAAGTGGAGAAACTGACAGCGAACAGTATGGATCCTGATCAGACTGCGCGGATTTGTCTGGATCCATGCTGGTCGCAAACCCACTATGTTGGTTTTGTCATGACGTGGCTCATATGTAGCCTCACATTTATTATTGAAAGGCACGGAATGTTGTTATAATGGATTTAGATCATGTGCTTTGCTTATCACTTGAACAAGATTTTACTGAATATGAAATAATTTGTGATAAAAGTAGTAAAATTTAAATAAGGTGGTATTTTGACTTTAATATAAACTACTAATGATTAACAAATAACATTCGTGGAACAGGACACCAAAAATAAAGGGTTGTTGAGAACTTAAAGAAATAGCACTTTTGAGCGTAAATGGGCCTTTAAAGATCCTGTATGTTTTGTGATTGATATTGTTACTGTGTCTTTACCACACTTGCAAGAAATTATACATGTATATAATTATGCAAATAAAACAATTTTCAAACATCAAAGAATATGTAAAATGTGTACTGCAAATATTTGTGCACATTATATTTAATCAATAAATTACATGTACATGCATTCATTTCTTATAGGAAAATTTGACTTAGAATTTATAGAAAATAAATTTCTAATTACCTCCCTTTATTTACATGAAATGTTAAATTGGGTAATATCTATATAAATAATGCTTATTGGAACTTACAATATTGACAAATCTTAATTTGAGCATCATAATTATGAAATAAAACCATGAAATATTGTGTTACAGGATTATTTTCTGTGAAGTCATACTGTCATTTCTCTTTTTTACCTTAAACCCATTATGCCATTTATATGTTCCATAGTGTATAATACATGGCAATGTATATCACGTGACACTGTACGTGCATGACAAATGTAACGAGATAATGCTTTGGTTGTTGATATTGTATGTCACGTGATAATGTGTGTTTCATGACACAACATTGTCTGTTACATTCTATGTGCGTGACAAGTATAACAAGATAACGTTTAGTTCATGACATTGGTTTTTACGTGTAATTGTGCTTTTCGTGACACGAAATTGTCTGTGACATTGTATGTGTGTGTGACAAATGTCACTTAAAATTGTATGTTACGTGTAATTGTGCTTGTCGTGACATTCTGCTGAATGTGACATTGTATATGCGTGACTATTGTATAGTGAGTAAATTTAGTTCTTGAAATTGTATGGCACGTGCTGTTGTGCGTTTCGTGACATAAAATTTATGTGACATTTTGATATTGTATGCATTATGATTTAAATTGTTTTGTAAAACGTTTTGTTTTGAGACATTTTACGTTTCATGACATCATAAATTAAGCAACATTCTTGTGCATAACGTAACAATATCTGTTGCAAGATCTACACATTGCACATGACATGACATTATTTGTTACGTGAAATTTACATTACATTGATTCATATGTATAATGCACGCACTTGCGATCAGAGAAAAGAGGGGAAATCAAATTATGTGAAACATATATAAAAACATTAAAAACATTAAAACACATTATGGAAAGTAAGTACTGAACATTTTATTATGTTTTGTCAGTCAGTTAAATGCTCCGTCTATGTGAGTCAGAAAAATATACATTTAAAAAGACAAAAAAAAAAAAAAAAACACATTTAATATAGAATTGTACGCATTTATTAATTTTAGAAATACTCATCCGTTCGACTCATTTTGACATATTCTTCTCCTCCGCCCTTCACTTTATTCCGTACAGACAATTTTGTTAAACTGACACGTGTTTTTGAGAAATTTCGTTCAGATACAAAGGGAAGTATTATTATAAATACCCGAAAACCTGTCTTAAAACAACCACCTTTAAAAAGAATCTTACATTTCAACTCAACTTGTCTGAAATTTCAACAAGCCAAGAACAGAAACATAAATTGGGTTATAAACTTGTAAAGTTATAGAATGAAAAATTGGATATCCAATCTGGGGACATGGAGTACAAAACAATGTGGCTTTCAAGAATTAAAGAAATAAGGTTTAGGAGCAATTAACATGCCACACGTTGTTTTTAACTTTTTTTTGCACGTCAGATCTGACCCGATTTATCTTTCTGACATGGTTTGTAACTGGGTAACTACAAATTATATTTTGACTGATGCTATATTTAGTCATTTATGTATATCTGAACGGACTATTTCATTACAAAACGAGAATTAATAGCAAATCAGAAAAATAGACAGTTGATATGAATGTTTTACGGCCGTATGTCACAATGTTTACTGCCAAAGCAAACAAAAAAGTGACAAGTTGGTCACGTGGTTATACGGTGCATATAATTGCTATAATTGTTTGATGACCACTTCGCATCAGACTCCTAAATTTTTTTTAAATTTTGCTTATACTTCAAAGTACTGAAAGTACTTAACAGCGGCAAGTATTTAATTCACGATGAAGGTAGGATTTCGAAAAAATGCGATGATAGTTTTAAAGATATCGTTAGACCAAAAGCTGATGAACTGAAAACTAGAGAAATAAATCGAAAGGAATAAACCGGTGATAAAGATAATATGTTGATTTCGGGGAACGTTCTTTTTATTTTTCTTGTTTGAGTTATGGTACATATATGTTCTGATATAAATAACATTGTTAGATAATTATTTTTCGGGTTTTTTGGTCTATTTTAGATAAAAAATAAATATAGGTGAGCGGACAATATAATGCAATATTATCATAGTCATGAATATATTCATTTTAATATATGATAATCTAGTTTATGTATTTTAACAACATCGAACGAAAATTTCTTTGCAGAAGTACCCATTAAGTTTTTTTTGGATATAATTTATAAATTATTTGTCCTTATTTCTACTCGAGGGGAGCACCTTTTATAAATCACGCCTATTGCTCATTCTAGAATATTTTTGTTTCTGATTAGTGTTTGCAGAATATGTAAATGAATATGTTTAACAACTTTTACCTATTTTTAATGTTAAAAATAATTCTTTTCTATTGCTATTTATTTGGACATCTTATATGATTCATGCCTATTCTATCGTTTATTTTATAAAATTACATTTGAATGTATTACATATCTATATTCCTCATAGTCTATATTCCTTACCCTTATTCTGCCACAGTTTATATTTGTCTTACAAAGTCTTTTTTTGCCATTTCCCCAATTAGAACTTAAAAGAATATCGCCATTTCCACGAACGAATATACTATATGATTTATATGTATTTTTTACAATTTGTTTCAATAAAAATAACTATAAAAAACACTGTTACTTACACCTATTCCTCCACAGTTAATTCCCATATAATTATATCCCGCCGAATTATAATTTGTACGTGTCCACATGGTTCCTCTATGTGAGGGTTTGAGCATAGCGGTAGCGTCCGCTGACAGAAAAACATTCCAAAAATAGAATAAAATCACGTAAAAAATCGAGATGAAATTCATCATCAATGTTTTGACTTAATTAAACACCACATTTAGTTCACTAAAAGTTACTAAGCTACTAATTTTTATCGTACTTTATTATAACTAGCTTCACTTTAATTTGAAATTATTTTGTTTTCTCTTTCCCTTTTTCCGTTTTTTTTTTAATTTCATAAAAGAATTTCATTTTTATTTTGTTAAAAAATCAATAAGGTAAATAATTAAAACAATAGAGGACACGGAAGTGTGTCCCCCTGCCTTACCACCACTGCTTAAGGAAAACTGTGACAGTCTAGCTCTTTACATGACGGATGACAAAATATGACATGATATAAGTTATTCTATTTTTGGCGCAACAATGACAACCAAATCCATCCTATTGTAAAGTGTTTTATTTATGATGGGTGATACTATTCAAATCATAAAAAGCCTTCGTGCGGGCTTTTTTCGCCAATTTTGCGAATTAATGCATTTTTTGCAAAAATCATTTTTCGCTACGTATTCTGCCATATAAATTAAACAACACTGAAAATAGACATTCGCGGATATTTTGATTAGTCAATCATTCCTAACTTTAAGATTTTGAGAATTTTTAGACTCTCGAAAATATGTGATTTAACATAACATCGGGGATTTATTATAGCTCCGATGGCATATCATGCATGTGACCATAAGTAATGAAACTGGTCAAATTAAAAAATATGCTATTTGTTTTGCATCAAATTTTTAAAAATTTGCAAAACATAAATTTTAGATAAACAAATACCCGTTAATAAAATCGAGATATTGTTTTATTTTAAAGCTCATTTTAGCTTATGTAGTTAAGAATAGGCCCGCCTAAATATAATTTACGTGCATTTAAGTGAGGAAATAATAGATCAGTTTAATTTTTTGGGGTATTTTTTATTCTTGCTCATTCAGTTAGAGATAATTATTTTAAACATTTGGTGTTATTGTATTGTGCGACATAATGATGTGGAGGGAGGCAAGGGTGGGGACGGGGTTGATTCTGAACGAAAAACTCTCCCTTATTGGGATGTTTACTCTCAATTTATTCCTAGGAGCAATTTTGACACATATGCTATACATATTCGGAAATGTTTCTAAATTATATCTCACCATTTTTATGTTTGAAGATTGAATTCTGCTTAAGCCTGTACTAGGGGGCGTGGACGGCTTGCACTTTTCAGTACCGTCTATGAACAGGCTCAATCAAACCCAGCATGGAATATTTTTTCATTCTGTCGTAATTCTTTAGGGATTCTGTTTTTTTTTCTATTTTACTTAAATATTTATGCAAGTTAAAATATCGGTCTTAAGGTATCCTATAAAGCAAGAAAAACCTCCCTCCTTTTAGAGTAAACCTTACTACCATAAAGAAGAATGAAATGTTCTGAGGAATTCCACTGTTTAATAACTTGTTCTTAATATACTAAAAATCCAAACATTAACGTTCAATGTTTTGATCAGACTTTAGAGTATATTATTTCTTCTCGTTTATTTTGTTTGAATCCGGCCAATGACTTATTCCAATTCTGTCAAGTGAGGAGGATATCCATTTAGCTTTCGGAAGACCGATTCATCCAATCTTGGGTCTGAAAAGATGCACACGATGACGCGTGATGTATTCAATTCTTTAATGTGTTTGTCTATTTCAACCCCGACCCCGCAAAAGAATACCAGAAACTTTGACGTTCAGATTTTTAAATTATATCTATGGTTTAGGCATGTTTTTTTTGGCAGCCTATTTAAACATCAGATATTAATGATATGGAAAAAGACATTCCGAAAGCAAACAATATGTTAGTAGAAAGTTTTAATAGGTACATAATTAGGGATGAATGAATAAAACATATGTAAGGTGAATTTTATGTGCAAAGCAAAAACAAACAATATTTATAACAAGGAAAGAAATTTAAGAATCTGACCAAATCTTCATACTTTAATGTGCAAGTTGCGAGACATCAAAACTTTTAAATTTTTGCCTATATTTTGTATTAGTTTACTAATATATTGGATACATAATGGATCTTTTATTCCTGCGCTTTGTTACAAAAAATTTAACATTTGACAAAACAAAATTAAAGTTCATGAATTTTTAATTCATAGTTTAAATAGCGGTTGTCCAAAATTAATAACCATGTTAATTTCTAAGAAAAAAATAAGAAAAAAATTTTTATATGAAGAAGGTTAGAATTACATTAGCTTTTCCCCCCCCCTACAATTCATTTGAATATTTTTTAGTAAAAATTGGATACCGCGGGAGGGAGAAAACAAAATTTGAGCCGAAGTCAACGGACAAAACCAACATTAGTTTGGGTGTTTGCGGACCAGAGCAATAGGAATCCAAACCAGCCTTTCCGCATTCGGCGCCAGGTCTGATCAGCGATCCATGCTGTTCGCTATCGAGTTTTTTATTTCGTGTTGTTAAAGCGAACAGCATGGATCCTGATCAGGGACTGCGCGGATGCGCAGGCTGGTCTGGGATCCATGCTGGGTCGCAAACCCACTTATGTTGGTTTTGTCATGAGCGGCTCATTTATTTTCGTGTTTTTTTTTTATTGATGTAGGTGTCATGTTTTTGTTTCTACAGTACTAATTATCATGGTCGATATAATCAAAAATTTTTTGCATCCTGATATTAAACGGGGAAAGATGATAAACAGGACAGGAAAAAATATTAATTTGACAAGATTTTTTTATGATTGATACTTCTGTTTATAAAAAGACGACCTTGACTTTTACATTTTTTCTTATCCCATACTTTCATTCTAAAAAGCTGTCAACTTTGACGCCTTGTTATAATCGATTCGTTAAGTTCTGTTATAATTAGGCTTATTTTTGCATATACATTAAAATACAAGAGCATTAGCACAATATGTGGATAAAATATATACAAAATCACAACGAATAATGATACACAACTAAGAGTGAACTGTCATATGTGCATGCGCGAAGTAAACGTTGAAAAAAGACCTTTTGAAATTGTGTGAAGCAGGTTTCAAGTTTCAGTCGTATTATGTGATGCGAGTCCGAGTCGTCCTCTAAACCAGGTTTTCAATGTTTTTCCCTTACCGCCTCATTTTATTTGAAAAATTACTAACATAAAAATTTCAACGGGCGTCTGTGGCCGAGTAGTTAAAAGATCTGGAAAAAAACAAAGTGATCCCTCGGAAAGCACCAAATTCACAACAAAATAGGCTTTAAGAATTTGCAGACTCGGTTGATTGAGTCTGTACATGAGGGATAATGAATAAGTGCAACATCCCTCAGCCCCCTAGCACCGGCTTGAAGCCGTGGATCCCCCACCGCTGTGTTTTTGAAATCCTTCCAAGGAGAAGTGTCAAAG